CATCGTTAAGGAATTTGAACTTAATACATTAAATGAATTATATCAACTAATTGTCGATCGAGTTAATAAAGGATATACCAATTCTGAGCTAATGACTAGTATTAACACATTTATTGAAAATAGTCAGACAACTTCGACACAGATTTTTAATTTATTAACTAATTCTGAAAAAACCTCCCAAAATGCCGTGATTCTCGGAATATTTTATGGATTAGGAATTGGGGTCACTCAAAATAATGAGAAAGCAGTTCAGTGTTACCTAAAATCTGCTGAAGGTGGAAATTCCTATGGACAAAATAACCTCGGAGAATGTTACTATTACGGGAGTGAAATTACAAAGAATCACGAGAAAGCATTTCAGTGGTTTGTTAAAGCTGCTGAAGGTGAAAATTATCAGGGACAAGCTAATATTGGACGTTGTTATCTCTATGGAATCGGAACTACTAAAGACTACAAGAAAACATTTCAGTGGTATATGAAATCTGCTGAAGGTGGAAATTCTAATGGACAATATGGTCTTGGATATTGTTATCGCAATGGAATAGGAGCTACTAAAGATTACGAGAGAGCATTTCAGTGGTATATGAAGTCTGCTGAAGGTGGAAATGCCGATGGACAATGTGATCTCGGATATTGTTATGAGAAGGGAATTGGAACTACTAAAGACTACAAGAAAGCATTTCAGTGGTATATGAAATCTGCTGAAGGTGGAAATCATAAGAGACAATCTAATATTGGAAATTTTTATCAACGTGGAATCGGAACAGCTAAAGACTACGAAAAAGTATTTCAGTGGTATATGAAATCTGCTGAAGGTGGAAATGCCAATGGACAATATAATCTTGGATATTGTTATCGCAATGGAATTGGAACTACTAAAGACTATGAGAAAGCATTTCAGTGGTATATGTAATCTGCTGAAGGTGGACATTGTCGGGGACAATATAATCTTGGTCATTGTTATGAGAATGGAATCGGAACAACTAAAGACTACAAGAAATCATTTCATTGGTATATGAAATCAGCTGAAGGTGGAAATACCAATGGACAATATAATCTTGGACGTTGTTATGAGAAGGGAATTGGAACAATTAAAGACTACGAGAAAGCATTTCAGTGGATTTTGAAATCTGCTGAAGGTGGAAGTGCTAATGGAAAATTTGGTCTTGGATATTGTTATCAATATGGAATTGGAACTACTAAAGACTACGAAAAAGCATTTCAGTGGTATATGAAATCAGCTGAAGGTAGAAATGACAATGGACAATATAGTCTTGGATATTGTTATAAATATGGAATTGGGACTACTAAAGACTACGAAAAAGCATTTCAGTGGTATATGAAATCTGCTGAAGGTGGAAATTCTAATGGACAATATAATCTTGGGTATTGTTATGAGAAGGGAATTGGAACTACTAAAGACTACGAAAAATCATTTCAGTGGTATATGAAATCTGCTGAAGGTGGAAATTCTAATGGACAATATAATCTTGGATATTGTTATGAGAAGGGAATTGGAACTACTAAAGACTATGAAAAAGCATTTCAGTGGTATATGAAATCTGCTGAAGGTGGAAATGCTTATGGACAAAAAAGTCTTGGAATTTGTTATTGGGATGGAATCGGTACGAATAAAAATATGGAGAAAGCAAAATACTGGCTCGAAAAATCTAAAATGAAGAATATAAAATTTGCATGTATGTATACTTTTATATTAGCAAAATGGTTGCTTGATTGGGAATATTGTCACTAATATAATTTTATTTTTTATTATCATATTTCCCCGTTATTTTTTTCTTACGCATTTATTTTTTTTCTTTTCCTTTCTCTTTTTAGTGCATCTTTTTTTTAAAAAAATTTTTCATATTTAAAATTAATTATCGTAAAGTGTTGTAAGAAATAAATTAAAAATAATGTTTTTACAATAATTTAATAATGCAATTAAAATTATCTGATCATTTCTTGGTTTTGTTATTAGAATATAAAAATTATTTAAAGTCACAGATTTAAGGTTAAATCTTAAAATAAAAAATAATATCAAATAATAATAACTACATAGTATAAATCTCAAACCTTTTAAAATAAAAGTTTTGTAAAAATATACAGTAAAAGAAATCAGTTATTGTCCGAAGCAAGCATAGCAAAGCATAGAACCTTAAGAGAGGCAAATATTAAAATTGTGTGGTTTCTGCATTTATTGTCCGACCTCATGTCAACATTCCAATAGAATTACTTTTTATATATGATAACATTTAGTATATTATATATTTACTAATATACAATATACAGTAATATATTAATTTACATATAATATGCATGTATGTTATATAATAAAATAATAATTAAGTTGTTTCTTTTTCTATTCTATTAGTCTTTCTTATTTATTTATTTGTTCTAATAATCTCTTGCAATTTTTTATATATTGAAGTCTTTTGAATGTGAAATGGTTTAATAGAATATTAACAAGAGCATAAACATGTGATATTGCTACAAAAGTTAGTCTGGCAGCAAATTCTTTTTTACCTATATCCATGACAGCTTTTGGTAATGTTAAACTTTGTAATTAGTACACTGTGATAGCTGATGCAAGAAAAAGTGGGATCTGTAAATGGAAACACATTCCATGTTTATTTTCCTATATATGTCAAACTAAAACAATAGATATAACTAGAATTTTTTCTATGTTCGTAATAAAGAAACCATAATATTTGTCAAAAGATACTAAAGCTGTAGTAGATAAAGAAGTATTATTTTGTTTATCTTTAAAAAAAAGTTCAACTACTGTTCCCATTGCTCTATTTACAAGTCCAGCAGAAACTAATAAATTTATATTAGGCATCATATACGCTTTCTTGTTTAGCAGTAATATTGATTCAAGACCTTTTGCCACATCTGTATCTGTTTTTATGACTTCAGAACCACCTGTATAGATAGTACAAATTTTAATAACAGACTGATTTAATAAATAAAGCTTATAAAGATTAACTTTTTTAACTTTTTCTCATGTTATATAAATATTAACACACTTTGAAAATAACTCTTGCTTTGATTTAAATAAATTTTTTAGAAGTTGAAATATCAAAAATTTCCAATCTGATTGAGTTGATTTGCTATTAAACAAATATATTAAAAAGATCTTTAAATCTATATTGTTTATTTGAATTTTTGGCTTGTTATATAGTCTCAAACATATATATATATTTAAAACAATTATAAATATTATATACATTTTTTGATAAATGATCTGATAAATAAAAATCCTTAAAATGTATTGAAAGGTTTTCTACTAGAAAAATTTGTTCAAAGTTATTAACATGAATAAGCAATCAACTATTAAAAGAAATATTGTTATAATCTGGAAAAGCTTAACATAATTATAAATCTATTATAGCAAAAAATCAATATTCATAAAAACAGTACTTACTAAATAGTATAATTTATATCTAAAATAGCAATAGTCTAGCCTGCAAAGATGTTTAATATAATAGTAGCAATAATAATTATCAATAATAATCTCATATTTAATACTCTTGACCAATTTAAAAAAATGGCAATATTCTATTATGCTAATTTTATCAATAATAAATATTTTGTTTTATATAACTTATTTGGAAATTTTTTAAACCATTATTTTTAAGATCAAAATAACTAGAAAATATTATTGCGATTTTCAAAATGCTGTAATATTCTCAAATTTTAGTATGATTACAGATTACAGATTACATTTGACAAGTAACATTTTGAATAAAATTATATATCCAATAATATCACGCAATATCTGTAATACTTCATCGATATGGAGCATATAATTCCTTCTAGAATATATTTTCCTGGTATCTGCTTTGACTGTCAGTTTTGTTTGTACTGTGAAAAAGATAATAGCTATAAGCCATGTAGTTGTAATAAGAAACGAAGAGTTAATTTAGACCATATCAAACTGGGATTCAAAAAAGCCTATTCTCATATCTATAAATCACTAAATTCTAACCCCTTACAAATGTCTTTAAATAAGTCTTGTAATGATATATATGGATATAAATTGAATTTAGATGAGAGTTTCTTATTTATTTGTGTTCTACTTGCTATAGCAGCTTTCAAAAACTTAATAAAACTAACCAGAAATCTATTTGTTCTATTATTGAACCTGAAGATTCACAGATGGAAGAGACAATGTTAATGGATGAAAAAATGATGCAGCAGATTCCATCTTCCTATAAAGAATCTTCTAACATGAAACTAAAGCTTCTTATTAAATCGGCTTTGTAGCAAATCCAGCAAAATGACTTATCTTGCCATCGACAAGTTTTCTGGAGCTTATCAATACTTTACATGATGAAGTTAGATCTATGCCTAGTTATGATAACATAAAGAAGAAACATTACACAATTGTATACAAGGAATCAATCACTAATGGAACAGGAACTCTTTTGATGGAAAGTGATTTTGAGAAATTTCTGGCTGAATACCAACGAATGAAGAAAATAGGAAAATCATTAATAGTAATAGTTTCATTAACAAAATATAGAAAAGAAAACAATAGAGAATGGAAGAAAAAAAAGAAGGTAAATGTGGAATTTTTATTCATTTATTTATCTTGCTTATCTAGCTTAACTTTTTACTTTTAAGGTCAAGTTAAAAGAAAGTGAATCTTCTTCATCGACATTATCAAGTGATATACTTGTGCCACTAAGAAAGAAGATAAAAATGCCTAAAGTTATAGATCTCGACAAAAATGAAATATGCATTGCCAAAACTATAATTGTATTACATAAAAAATATCACTGTACATGGCATAATCAACCATGTCTAGTAGAAAATCATCATCATTTCAGACTAACACCTTTGCATATTAAACTCTGGGCCCATGATATTGTAAGTTGCGATTTTTTATACAGAGTATTTAATTTCGATTATGTCTACATAATAATAAAGTTTTGCTTCTATAGTTGTATAGAGAATCGATTGAAATTTTGTTGACATTGTCATTATTTGATATGAATTCTAGCAAAGAACTATCTGCACCAATACCAAGGCCTATTCAACAGTCATACTTACCTCCACCACTACTGTATTATGTACAGTTCTGGCAAAAAAAACTGGCATTCTTGATTTTTTTAAAAATTAAGTAATTAGATCACAAATCCTGTTACACTATTGACAAATTTAGTTAATAACCGATTATTTTAAAGTCAAAAAAAAAATATGTGCTACTTAATATGACATATGGTTACTTTGGCGGAGAAACATCTCGTTGTTAAGTCTTTGTGAAAGCAAGGATATAAAAAAGTCAGTGAACTTCAAAAAATAACCCAATATCCAAGAAGAATACTATTCAAATGGGCTGTTCAGCTTGCCCAAACAGATAATCTCAAGCAAAGGCAACGTCCAGGCCACTCGCGTCGACTTAATGCAGTATAACGAAAGCATCTTGGCCTAATAGCCATAAGAAAAAATCATGTGACAAGTTTGGAACTAACAAAAGCACTCAAAAAAACTTATCTGGACCTTACTATTTCTCCATGCACAGTACGTGATAACCTTCAAAAACTTGGTTTTAAAGTCTGTGTTTCCTGTACAATTCCTTTTTTAACAAAAGCTATGAAGCTTCATTAGCTTGAGTAGACCAAATCACACTTAAGAAGACAATAGAATAATAACATTTTTTCGGACAAGACAATGTTCCAGATGTTTCGTAACACAATGCAGATTTGATATAAGTCTGGAAGACCATAACCAAGTTACAAATTGGTTAAGTATCCTTATAAAGTTCATGTCTGGGCAGCTTTTTGTGCAAGTGGTACGATAGGGCTTCATACCTTTATAAAAAAGATGGATGGTGAGCGATATCATAACATTTTACAAGAAAATTTGTTCGAACAAGCATATAACAAGCTCAGCAGCATGTGAATCTTCCAACAAGATAATAATCCAAAGTACACTACTAAGCTTATAATCGCTCTTCTTCATGAACGATGCCTGCGAGTTTTCAATTGGTCGTCATCATCACCGGATCTAAATTCGATCGAGAATTTATGGGCAATAATGAAAAAAAAAGTGGAAAAGGAAATAAGTATGCTTATTAGAGAAAAAAAAAAGTGACACAGCAAATGTTTATATCTATAATCATGCAGGAATGACAAAAAATCAATGTCACTATATGTCAAAATTTAGCAAAATCTATGAAGCGACAGTTAGAGTTAGTTATATAAAGCAATGGCGACACAATTGATTATTAAAAATGATACACTTTATAAGTTATATTTTTAGCTAGTTGTAATTAAAATTTTATTAA